TTCTTTTGCCCTTCCCAAACACTTCTTTGGCCTCTTTGCCCCATATGACGGGGGAACTAAAGCGCAACTAAACTGACAGTCTTCTTGCACAGCCCATTGTTAGCAGCTATCTTTCCCCTCAGTTAATGTACCCAGTCTTCCACCTTTAAAGTGGGCTCGCCATCCCACCTGGTCATGCAGGAAGCACTAGAGAGGGCTACCAACCGTGGTCCTGAGTTTTCCATTACTGCTGACCACAGCAGGAGGGTATTGACTCCATGGTTGCCCCTCAAGATGAGGGGTTGCCCTGTGCAGAGTAGAAGTGAGATATTGTTCAAAATACCAGAGACATGAAGATGCTCTCTTCACAGTTGCTGAATTGAAATCTGGGCAATATGTTTCTCCCAACTTGTTAGAATGTGACACTGGTGCCCATTGGATGAACATTTTCACATGCACTGTACACATAGGGCGTTATCTGGACCTCTGGCAGCCTTGTTCTCAGTGAGGTCACTTCCAGAACCTTCTCTCAGGTGCTGGATGCCTTTCTAAGCAGTAGTCCTCCTTCCATGATAATTCACAAGAGCTTGCTTGAACACATATCTTGCCCTCACACTTGACAGGACACTCCTCCAGAGACTGCAATTATTTGTGACTTTTGCATTTTCCTGGCCAAATCCCCGGTCCCTAGTGAGGAACATCAGCCATTGGGTTTCCTTGCTTTCGAATTCCTGACTTTGGCCCCTCTCTCACACCATCAGAGTTGATAGGCAGTAATCCACTCACCTGCCTTGTGCCTGTAATCATTCCACATCTCTCCAAGTTTTCCCAAGGTCAGGGAGTGACTACTTTAAGTTGCTAGTGTGATTTCTCTCACTTCTTTCTCCCACATCTCTGCTGAAATCAGACACTTCTCAGCTTACCAGTCAGACACCTCATTACCTCCTAACGCCTGCACTGATCAACAGGGATCCATCTACCTTACTGTCCCTATCTCAACCGTGGTGCTCTCAGATATGCTGTAGGTCTCTGTTTCACCTACTGTATTCTTAGATGTTGTTTGGATCTCAGCATCAGTCAGGGCATTCACAGAAGTGGTTTGAGTTCCAATAGGGTGCACTGTAGAAGGACCAATATGTACGGAATATCTAGAAGTAGGTGGGCTATCCATGAAACTGTTGAGGCTGATTAGTGAAGGAAAATCTAATCATGTGTTGGTGCTCATCAGTGATCAAGAAACATCCTAGAAAATGCATAAATAATATGTATACACATTTCTCATGTTCAGAAGTCTTTATGAACTGTCAGAGAAGAGATGATTAGTTATATCCTTAGGGGAACTATCCTTATAAGGATGCTAAAACCCACTCCAAACTGGGCTGGAGAGTCTTGCCCAGGAATAGACCTTTACTCTTGGAACATGTGTATTTGTGCTAATAGTTCTGTAACACTATTAAAATTACAAAACAATCAGATACCAGTGAGATGTTTTTCCAAGTCTGTTAGTGATAAGACAGTGTACAAAAATCAACCTGAAAAGTACTGAGGTGGGCTGGTTTGATCCCAATACACAAGCTTCTACGACTTAGGAGTAAAGGGCAATATATTGTCTCAGCATGTGAGACTGGCTTATCGTCAGGAAACGAAATCAATTTGAGACAAAAATTTCTCTTTGCATTCTTATTGCCCATGACGTCATATGATATGGAATATACCTTTGGTCAGTCTAGGTCCCAACCTCTTGTACATCCTGAGCCTACTGGCCTTTTACAGAAAGGGCAGAGAGACAGGGTTGCTGCTGTGCAAGCACCACCCAGCAAAACTTCCTAACCATTCCCATGTTATCAACATAGTGTTCCAGCTGCAACTAGAAAGAACCACAGGGAGGCCTAACAGGATGCAATTCAGCTCCATCCTAGGAAGATCCTACACAATGAAGACACAATCACTGTTCATTCATCCCCAACTAACCCATCACAGAACCTCCCCTGAGCAACATTTCTCTCCCTGGGCCTCCTAGGAGAGTGTCTGCAGGGGAAAGGATGACACAGAGGCATGGGTTGGGATGCAGTAGAACTTTAATGAGTCAAAGGAGGGAAATGAGATTATGCTGAGCAGTGGTTCCACTGAAGAGAGCACCAGAAGTAGGGAGAAGTCTGTCCTTCATGATTCTGGTGAAGATGCCGACAGGCATCCACGTGCCTGCCCCACAGAGGAAGCAGGCCCAGCAGGTCCTCCCTAGGCTGGCTTGGTGGAGCTCAAAGCCCAGGGAAGCACAAGAGAACAAGGGCACAAGAGCCAAAGGAGAGAGTGGACGAGAGGAAAGGCAGGCATGGGCTGTGCCTTCAGAGAGCTCAGGCTGGCCCTGTCCCTTTGCAAGGGGTGATGGTGTTGCTCAGCTGGTCTCTGAAAGAAACAAGGCGGTGTTCTGAATACAGCCCGGTACAATCTTGTGAGTCTGTGGAGACCTTCCCCAAGGCCATCAGCAGCAGCTTTAGCAGGGGAAGCACCTCCTGCCGCAGTAGCGACCACCAATGCCAGAGAGGCCAAAGCCCCCAGAGTTGATGGGCACTCCCTCGGAGCTCAGGATGCTGCCAACGGCAGCAGAGGGGGGATTGCCCACAGCGGGGTTCTGTGGGAAGGAGCTGAGGATGGGTCCGGGCAGGGTCACCACCACGGGGGAGGGCTGGATGACGACCCTGGAGTCCTGGCACTGCCGCACACAGGGCTCATTGCAGCTGTTGGCCAGCGGGGTTGGGCCACAGGGCTGGCAGGGCAGGCAGGTGTTGTAGCAGGACATGTTGCAGGGACAGAGGTGCACCTAAGACAGAGGGAAGGGTGAAGCAGAACATGTAGGATGGATGATGAGCATTCTATCAGGACACTATGAGGGAGAAAAAGTAAGAATTGAAGACAAGAGCTGGGGACTCTGTATAGATTCTTACTAGCTTCTTCCTCCAAAAACCCTGAAAGAGCCCTGCTGAGACTGACCAAACCTACAGAAGTCCCCACCTCATCTAGAGATCACAAGACAGTTCAGCCATTGCCAGCCTCTTTTCATGCAAGCACCTCAAGACACAACATGGGACAAAGAGGCTGGCATGTACTGAGAAATGTGAGAGGAAAAGGATGAGGAGGAGAAGGAGGAGAAAGGATTTCAGACTTACCTTGTTCTTAAGAAGATGGTGGCAAGAGGATTGAATGAGAGAGTCAGGAGTAGGACCCACTTTTATACTGCTCCTACACCGCCCCAGGCCCACAGTCACTGCACACGGGCAGTAATTTTCCAATAGACTCACCTCTAAAGTAAAATATCCTACCTAATGGCACACATTGTGTTTTTGTTACTGTCAACAGTTCCATTTAATTTTCTCATTTCTTACATGCCTGGTCTTTGAATCAGACACATTCCAGATGCAGATGTCAGAAGACCAAGGATATCCCGAACTGGATCTTAGTGGGGTCATGCAAAAGGCTTAGCCTAAGGCAGACACAGCACTCACTGGGCCAATATCGCTGGGGCTGGGGGTTACAAAAATGCAGAAGTAGTGCCAGGGTCTTTGCCTTGGTCATTATTGGCAGGATTTTCCGTCTAGTGCTTGAAAGAACTTGCGGCAGTAGAGGAGAATCAGATGTGGGAACATTGAAACAGATTGCACTGAGATGATTGGAAAAGACCTGAAGGGATGTACCAGAGGGTCTTGGTTGTGTTCCTACCAAGACACTTTCTA